CGATTCATGATTTCAATCAAAATTTTATTTTAGTTTTAATTCAAGAAAATGTGAGATAATGAGAATGCATTTGGGTTATGTACCGTGAAAGAAATTATGATTTAATGAGTAACCATATCAAATATTTTAACACTTATTTAGTAATCCATAGAATTATGTTTAAGATAGTGAAAAGCTCATAAAAACTAATTTGTAAGTCATTAAATAGATAATCTATGTGGAAATTAAAACATATTGAGTCACTTCAATTTGTAAAAACATATAAAACAAAAAATGATACACATACTTGAATAATTACATACAATTAGAGCATACTGGTTGGTAATTAATCAAAATTAGGCAGGACAAAGTAGAAAATGAAACTGATTCAACATTTTCACTCGGAGATACTTTGAATTTTATAATCTCTTATTTTATTTACATTATTTTATCAATTACGTTATGCCTGTTGGAGTAATTATTGTGATTATTCACACAAATCATAGTTATTTTACAGTACCGTTGAAAGACGGATGACATTAAACAACTGATCTTGTTATTTGGGAGACTCATTGGGAGAGCAATTGAAGGTGGTAGGTTCTATTCTTGTTCAGGTATTTGAGATGGTTTATTGAGAAATTTTAAACAGGATAAAACCACTGCTATAGCGCTGTCTAATTTACAATCGTTGTCTAGCTGCAATTGCTTGGTAAACCAAACTGTCTTTCTTATAGATCACTGATCTTAGTAGTTCTGTATTAATGGTCCTTTAAGTAGACGTAGATTAGCGACCTCATGTGATGTATTGAGCTGACTATGTATAATACATCAATAACTTGTTAAAATTTTAATCCGAGAGGTATTCTGAATAACTCGACCGTGACGATATTTAGTTCAGATTGTACAACCAGTATTACTATGATATTAGTTTTCCCTATCATTTTTGACTTTATTAGATCACAGTTTCTTTGGTTTAGTTCTTTTAGTTTTTTATAAGAATACTTCACTTTTGTAAATATGTGATCACGTTTTTCAAAATGTAATGAGCTCATATATTACATTGTTTAAATGAATTTTATTTACTAATTAAGCTCGTTTAATTGACCAAAAATCTATATTTTGAGCATCACGATACGTATAGTGATTGTGTTTAATTCACATTTACATGTTACCTTCAGACTGATTGAAATTATCGCTGAAAACTTGTCATTTACAAATGCTTGAAATTTATCCATCTATAATTTTTAATTCTGATGTTCTATTTGTAAAATATGTAAACTGAACTAATAAAAGGCAGAACATGATGAAAACCCAGTTATAAAGTTTTTATTCAATTAGGTTTCATCATGGCTTTACACTAATAATGAAATAACACACCCAGTAGTCGCGTTAAAATGAATGAGAAACTTTCTATCTATCCTACATTTTTAATGTTCCATCTACTCTCCTTGTTAGTTAGACACCTAAAAACGATATGATATTACTCTGCTCGTCTTTTAGTGTAAAAATAACAGATTGATGAATATTATTAAATATATTAAGTTGTCCTTTTCGTGTTTATAGAAAGTCTGAGATTGGACGGTGTACTCATTTCTATAGTGCTGTACCAGTCAGACCGAAAAAACTTAGTAAAGATCCTGACTCATCGTGCTAGAATGATTAGCTCTGATAACCCCATTGTAGATGAACTGAGTAATACTCATAAGCTGCTTCGTAAGAATGTATATCAACCGAAATTCATCGATAAAAATATGATATTGATTGAAAGAGGACCAAATTTCTCTACCGTTCTGAAGAAAGCACTGTTCTTAAAATTACAATTTCTCAATGTCGCTATCATAGAGATTGTAACTCAAAGGTTAAGGCAGGCAGTGCAGAAAACATTTACTTCAGCTCTAGTGAATGTGGTTTCCTACAACCGCTCCATAATAATGACCATCAATAAAGGCAGACTACCTAAATGCTCCATATCCATGTGTATTTACTAATTCAACTGGTTCTTTGCAGTCAGTTATATAAAAAGCGTACCATTCACCAAGTCCATCATCACACAGCAGAATGCTATCTGTCTTGGTTGAGCAAAGGACAGGTAAAAGTGATTGTATTCGGCGGCCTGCTTGAGTATCTGGGCTACCTGTTCCTGCCATCTAGATATTTCAACAATTTATCTATTTTTATTTGTATATATCATTATGTTTATTAATCGCACAACCTATTCTGCTGCGTTTCTGAAAAGTGTACAACCTTTCGTTGTCAAAGTTACAAACAACTCAATAAGAGACAATGTGGTTGCTGGCAATATACAACGAAAAGAATGCATATTATTCAGATGTTCATTTAGTGAACTGCTAACATCTAACTGGCGATCACTCAATATTTATCGCCAGGACCGACGAAGAAGAAAGAAACGGAAACTTGTTGAAATACTTTACGCTGAGAATTCTATATTGTACCAAAAATATAATATTGAATAAAGCTGATAATAATAATAATAATAATAATAATAATAATAATTAGGAATTCTATATTCTCGCTCACTTGGTAGACACAGTTCGTTCAATTGATTTGAATAAAGTTTTTAAAATTATCCACCATGTCACAACAAATTTACTTCATGCCTTACGAGTTTATCTAGAGTATCTTTCTGTAGCTATCGAAAAACTTGTTAACAAACGTCAACTTCGCATCTAAAAGAAGTTTGCACAACAACGTTCGCTACCTTGGCCATCGGCATAGGATCAAGTTTATGGCTGAACTTTGATGGAATCTTTTCGTTCAAAAACATGTAAACCAGTTTTTAATTTCTTTCAAGTTTGTTCTTTTACAGATTCTCAACATTTATATCTTGATTCTTGCATGACTACTATAATACAGAACTTCTATCAGAATTTTGGTTAGCTCCTTTTATATATTAAGTAGTGTAGGAAGTGCTTGATCATCCCTTACTTCCTTTATTATAATCCCCTCTCTTCCAGTTACTCAATGGTATTTTATGGTCAATGTGATGTTACATAACCATTACGCAACACACTAACTCAATGTGTGTTTTTTCATCGTTGTAAATCATATTATCTATCTATCTATCTATCTATCTATCTATCTATCTATATATATATATATATATATATATATATATATTGGTGTAGAGTCATGATGAAAAAATAATTGAAAAAAATTTCTTGGCTCCATTTGTTCCTTGTACAAAGAGTCAAAATATGAATTTCCACTATACTAAAAGTATTTTTCATTTATTTATTTGCATGTTTTGTCATTCAGATCAGAAAAATCAGACAACTAAATTCTACAATAAAGTTAGTTTCGTGTGTTTGATGACTGAAGAGTTTTTATTTATTGATTGACTATCAAAACAGTTTAAAAAAGAATATTAACAGCATGTCATGAATATGTATAATGTAATCAACTAAGAACCTAATTACATTATATAATAAGTCACTGGAGCCATTGAAACTATTGGATTAAACCCAACCTTTGTATATGTAAAGAAATTAGCGGTTAGATGTTATCTGCCCCTGGAACAAAGGTATTTTCACTTTTTTTAATTTTTTCTTTCAACTGATGTTACGTAATAAAATTATTTTGAGTATTCCGTAACTATCAATTCAAGGATTGATAAATGCTTGTTAGAATATTTATTCTTTTTTTGCTGACAAATTAGCTTTTTCAAGTTTTAAATTACGCTTATATTTAGCTGAAGATAAAGTAGCGAAATCAACTCATCGTGTTCTACAATTAATATCGTTCTTGGCCCATTAAAATGCTATTCATAATGAAAATTAACTGATAAACAGTTTTAAATTCATATGCTTCGGTTATCTCATATCCATAAAATTGATTTCAATAACTCATCATGGAAAATCATATTGACTTTTTGGAAAACGTAAGATACTTGAAAGGTTGTACATTCTTGTTGATAGAACTGGTTAGTAGTAAACTAGATGTGTTTTTTATTGATTGATACTCCCTCTAACATATATATTCAAGGTTTTTTTGTGATGTCATTTGACTAAATATATAATTAAAGCTATGATAATATTTCATTTCAATCTAATATAAATTATATCATAATTGTGTAATGGAATATTATTAATTTATGAACTTTTGGGAGAATGTTTAATTTCAGGGTTCCCGTCACAGATCGATCTTTGCATAGCAGAAAGCAATGAACATGCTTTATTTAAATTCATAAAGGGAACCAATTGCATGAAATGAACATTCGATTTGTTTTACAACGGGAGTGCTCAGAAGTGCGCATCCACGATTCCACGAAGAATCGAATTCAGGACTTTGAAGTCTCATGACAAGCACTTATCTTTTTAAAAAATGGCCAAGCAATCATTAGTTTTCATGTTCACCTCCAATAAATTCATGATATTTGTCAACCATCCTTTGATGTCACAAATGGGTAACTGCTTCACACATAGACACAGTGCTTTCTGGTCTATAATGTTTGTCTAATATTGTTTTAAAAATTAAAACAGTGTTGTAGCACTGTTCTTAGATGAAGAACAATTTTATCAGGACAATTAAGTATAATATTGTTTACATTATTATAAAGAATAATGGATAATTCTTCCAATATATTTAATACATAGTGAAACATGAGAAATCCTTATAATGTTTTATGCATCCGTTAGGTATACATATTTGAAAGTAAGTAATCAAATAAGATAATGAGTACTTAGTAAACAAAGCTTTTGGGTGATTGATTAAATGCTTTAGGCTTTCTGGTCATTTAATACTTGCATTATTTATCGAAGAAAGCACACTCCAAAAATTAGGTTTTTCCTGTATGAAATGACATGGAATAAGTAAACATTCATGAAATTTATATGATCCATCTAAGTTATTTCTCAAAATAGTTTATGACATCTTATCATGTTCATAAGCGAAACAATTGTTAACCATATGGTTGACATAGATATTTAATAAATACAAAGACAGAAATATATGACAATAAAACGCATGATTTACTTCAGCCTAGCACAATTAACGTGACTTACCGTAAATTTATATCCATTTGGGACACGTTCCCTATCCAAACTTTGTGTGGCAATTAACTTTCCATGTTCTGTTAGTATGAATAAGTTGTTATACTGCTTATATTGATTTGGCCATTGTATTTTATAGTTAACTTTACCATTTTGATTAGCATCTTTATCAATGGCTACAATTCTACCAACTGTAGAGTTCGGTTGATTTTCTTCCATAACCTGAACAAAATTAACATATATACCATATAATATAGCGATAAGTTTGCAACAAAACATCAATCGAGTTTAGTAGTTTCAGTGTTTATTTCATGTTATCTTTGTAACTATTATGAAGATAAAGTGAAAATTTTATGATAGAATGGTCCTCATGACATCCATCAGTGGGCAACTGGAGTTATGATTGTGAAGCAATCTTGAAATTCAGATAATTTGAAAAGTTCACATTAAAAGTTTATCAAACAAAGATATAAACTTTGGTTATTAAAGTTACATGATATTAATCCACTCAGAATAATATATTGCTGTGTGCTTATATTAATATACTAAATTGATTAATGATTGAGGAACATTCACTATTAACGGATTTCATAATTTATTAGATAAGTAATCGCCAAGGAGTTCAGATAGTTTAATTACAAAGCAAACTTATATGGTTACGTCATAATCTATAGCTACGTAAATCCATGACGCAACTAGGGTTTCTGTGATATTTGTTATTCTTAGTATATTTGATCGTTGGCAATTTGCTAAACACAGATATCTGTTGAAGTGAAATTTAAACAACTGGGAATACAGAATCGGTATTTTTAGTCAGCTGCACTATGATTTAGTTAACCTAACAATACAAATATCCGCTAATAAGCATTTGTGCTTAACAACAATAAATGGAACTATTCAGAGGTGGATGATGTCTAGCATTGTAATCAAGGATGCGCGTTCAAACCCATTTGAAATTCGTCAGCCAGAGTTTTGCAGTAAGCACCAACTCTCGACGTACAGTTAAATTCAGCTGACGAATCGCAAATAGAACAAGATGTGTGTCTTGTATCCAACCATTCATCTCTTTTCATGATGCGTGTAGTTTATGGCAATATCGAAGCAATTCGCATAAGATGTACAAAAGCCGAATTTAACTAGTCAATTAAAGTCCTAACCTACAACAGGAAGATTTTAACAACTAAGATGAAATGTCATTATTTTTTAAGAACTTGTTATTAATATACATTTTACAGTTAAAATATCTATATTTTATCAAAAATTACTTGCACTATTTAACTATATGACATGAAAGGATTTTGGGGGCGGGGGAGAAGAGGGGAAACACTCTGTTGCAGTGAGAAAAATCAACAATAAAAACATACATTTTGTGCGTCGAGAAATTCGTACAAACACACTAGAAAATCGGATGTATTAAATTTCTTTAAAAAAAACTTTGTTTCCTTCCATATTTTAGATTTATTTTGTCTTCAGTATACATTATGTATGTCCTTATTTAACTAAATGTGTTTGCTTGCCTTCAAAAAAACTGTCTCATCCTCATTTTATTCTCTATAATGTGATTTAGAAATGAATGTCGCTGTGTCGTGAATGCAAAATGCACATTAAAAGATAATAATAATCTTAGTTATGATCAAACAAAAACCATCGCATTTCTTCAACTGATGTTAGTGCATGTTTGTAGTGATCGGAAAAATGCGTAAGAGAATAAATTGAATGTATAAAGCTTTAAAAAGAAAATTCTTTAGAGAAATCAAAATAGTATGTACAGGCGTAAATAAAAGACATGAGACTGAAGATCATTCATCATCTAATTACGTATGTTGTAACCCATCTAGTATATATTGTAATATATATATATATATATATATATATATATATATATATATATATATATATATCTTCATTTAAGGCGAATCGATCATTAGAATATCCTATTCATAAAATATCGATGAATAAAAATGTCAAATTATTGATTTTTGATCTTAGATTCTGACTTGACTATCAGCATTTCCTACTGTTAAGATACCGACAATGTTAGACAAAATATAATATTGTTAATATAATGAATAAAACGGAATGTCATTAACTTATTGCAGTGTGTTAAATCATACATTAAGGTTAAAAATAATGACGAAACCATGTTTCTGAAAGCTATAATTCATCGAGTAAAAGATAAAAATTAATTCGACTGTGACCTCGGAAAGCTACTAGAATAATATATAACCTCGATCGCGCATATAACCATTGCCAGAGGAGTTCTACTTCCTGCATTCTCGAGGCCGAGATGTTGTTTACGAAATTATGAGGACGAGAAACGAGTGTCCGTCGCTTTAACCGGGCTAATGGATATGGAAAATGTTGAAAAACCCTGATTCCAAACCAATCGCGCACATGAGATCCAGTATCCTGAAGGAACAAATGGCGTGTGAACCAATTGTTGGTCACTGACTACCATGAGACTGAATCTCCAGACGTTGCCCCACTGCCTTGTGAATCAAACTTTCAGGTCGAAGGCTCCGTGTTTGGTCTCATAAGAAAACCACCTGCTTCAGTCTGGACACCCGAACAGTATCACAGCCCACTCACAAATCAAGTGACGTAAGTAGCGAATACGTATTCAGTGCCCCTTTGTACTAATATTTGCATTCAAGTAAATAAATAAATATATCTCAAATTATTATCTTATGACGATATATGACTATTTACTATCTTACTATCAGTGATGAAATTTCAGTGATCTCCGATGATCACGTTTATGGTTTAAAAAAGCTAATTTTGGATGATTTGTCTCATTTAAATAGAGTTATCACATTATAAATCTATTATCAGTGCAATGGCGTTCACTATAGTCGTAATGACTAAAATTTAATATTTTTTTACAGACATAAATTCACTGTTACTGATTACTTTGACTTGCATTTCCTTTTAAGAACTTGTTTGTCTAATTACAGTAACATGAAAAGCTATAGTAGTCAGAAAATTCGGTGAAAAAAAAACTTTCACACTAGAAATAAATAAAACTAATGACAAAACATATTTCCAATGAGACATGAAACTATATCTTGTGGTTATTTTGTTAAACACTCAAGTTTTTTTCAAAAGAAACATAATATGAGATACCAAAAACTTAATTTATAGATCCACTCCTTCCCCTTCAAAAGTTTGTTTTGATAACTATCTACTGCTTCCTTTATATTTGAGTAGCTCTACAGTCAGTGTATAATCGAACTGTACTGAAATTGTGACTCCTATCATTTGAATTAGTCATTTTTGAAAAATTGCAAATGGTACAGTTGTAAACTTTTCACTTAATTCTTTAGAATTAAATTTAACAGATACAACATTAAAAATTTAATTCGCCTTTATTTTGTTTGAATTATTTTTTCTGGTTATCGTTTTTGTAGCGAGTTAATTTTCTACGAGATGGTGTCGCTAACCCTTTGCCCAACCCTCCTCCTTTACCCGGGCTTGGGACCGGCAGTAAGTCTAGAAGAGCAACAGGCAAGCCCTAACTTGGAATCCTGGAGGGAAGTGGGAAAGAGGAAGGCCAAAGAATACATCACGTCGAGAAATAGAAGCAGATATGAAAAGGATGAATAGGAACTGGAAGAAACTGGAAAGGATTGGCGAGGACAGGGTTGGATGGCAAATGTTGGTGAGCGTCCTATGCTCTTTCACGAGGAGTAACAGGTGTAAGTAAGTTTATTTTGTCTAAAAATATTTTTGTACTATAGTGTGGGCTACTGATATCGATAGATACAAGTAGTATTTATTAGGGTATTCTGTAATTTTGTGCCCAAATACATTCGATTATCCCAATTTATGTTCTTATTCACTAAATATGTAAAATGAATATTTTATAAATACTATGCAAAATGCAACAATTTGATTAATAATTTAAAACAAAAACCAAATGATTATGTCAACTAATAAATAACATATTGAATAAAAAAATAAATGAAAATTTAAGAAATCAAAAATAAAAAGTAAATTTTATAGTAAAAAGAAAATATTTACAAATATATTCAAAACATTTGTATATGTCTATAAAGTTAAATTGCTAGGTTTGAAGCTATCACGGGTTCACTTAGTCTGCGAACGAGAAACAAGACTCGATGACCAAAATCCAGTAAGCTGGCTATTTGATGCGTCCCAGCCCCGCTAACTAGAGGGAGAAATCCAAGCTTGGAATGGGAATTATATTCTGCAAAACAGCCAGAAACGAGCGGTAACAACAAACACAATTCAAAACCTATATACACGGTGCAAAACCGTCCTTGGGGAGAGTAACCAAGTTGTATACTAAAAGACGCAACGGACCAATATCATTTAAGATGTTTCCCAGTAGGAAATACGACATATAGGTGACAAGAGCGCCTTTGGCGCAAAAACGAAGAAATTCAAATTTTCCAGATAAAATTACAAAATTAGATCCTTTCCTAAATGAGTTCTGGGGATCTAACATCCCCAACATAAATAGAACAAAACAGTTTGAAAGTGTTTGTTTGCTTATTTTTTTTCAACCAAATTAGTTAGGACACACATTGAGGAAAGCACCCAGCTGCGTCACAAGACAAGCCCTCACATGGAATCCTCAAGGCCAAAGGAAAAGAGGAAGACCAAAGAACACATTACATCGAGAAATGGAAATAGACATGAGAAAAATGAACAAGAATTGAATGGAACTAGAAAAGAAGGCCCAGGACAGAGTGGGTTGGAGAATGCTGGTCAGCGGCCTATGCTCCATTGGGAGTAACAGGCGTAAGTAAGTAAATTAGTTATTTCACCATGATGAATAAATTTTTTTAAAAGAAGTAAAAACGAAAAGAAAATTTTCTTCTTTGTGTGAATATATAGTTTTTTTTCTAGAAAAAAGAAACAACTTTTTCTCTTTATTTTTCTCTTAGATCAACTGTCAAAAATTGAATGAACACATTTTAATTTTGTCAGATGTATAAAATGTTCTCAGTTTGTTTTTTTTGGTTGTTGTTCTTGTCGTTGTTGTGGTGGTGGTTGTTGATGTCGTTGTTGTTGTTGTTGTTCATTTAAACAAATCTATACACATAATGTATGACGTGATATATCGATATTGTCGTACAAATTGTGCTTTTTTTTTAAAAAAAATTTAAAATTCAAAATGAATTGAGATATTTAATTTATACATTTAAATAAAACTATATTTCTAAAATTATGTCAATTAAATTGTTTTAATTTTCTTT